TTGTATTTCTTAACTTTCTTAAGATCGGTTTTCTAGTCTAACAGAGTTGGATGAAATGCAGTTTATAGCTACCGTTCCACTAAATTTCAACTTGAGTCTTTCGAGCACGCATTAGATTATTGCGAACCCAATTAAACTTTGGTTGAGAGTAGTCTATGTAAAGTGACTTAGAAAACAAAATAGCGTAAATTAAGTTCAAAAAAACCTTGTCAGATTTGGTAATGAATGTGTCTCGAGGCGCGCCATTTATACACGTAGCCGTTTACTACAATGCCATTGTTGAACTTTCGTTTTCGATTATCATCATCCCGGGTTGATATCAATATCTGTAATAATTTTTGCGCAGCTAACACCTTCACAGCCCTCTCTACTACTCTTAGTCGCCTACTACATGTGTTAGATCTAGAGAAAAGCTTTGCGAACAAATTAGAATTAGTAAACGTTCTAAGTTCTTGCCTTTAAGGAAGTCCTGATGAAATTCTATTTTAGCGTAATTTTGCCAACTATTGTGCATGGCCTAGATTTATTGGGTGCGTGCTAAAACTCCGATATTAGAAGCTCAATTGAGAGACTTCAAGTTACTATCTTAATGTCTTTGATTAACTATTCGTTCCTAGCTCTGTATGTAGTATTTTACATGTATATACCTTAAGTAATGTTCAGTATAGCATGCACAACCGCACAGCCTCTGGAGCTTTAACTCTTATCGTGTCGAATTAAAGGGTTTAATGTTTTTTTTTATGTTTATCCCCTCCCTCTCCAACCATAATCAAGTGAGATTTATTGGTTCTTAAATAAATGAGCCACAACCTCTTTAATATATGGCTTTACTCAATTGCTTATTTCAGGAAGACAATGGCCACAGCTGCTCCTCCTGTGTCATTTTCCTCTACTAAAGAGACAGCCAATTATGCAAGACTTTGTCATCTTTTGGTTGAAGTGGGATCTTGTGTGCTACGGAACACATTTGACAAGATTAATCCCCCAAGCGACCTTCACAAACACTTGAAGACACATCGTGCCACACTACAGCAACTTCGAATGAAAAAAATTTTAAATCCAACACAATGGGGAAAGTTATACCCTGCAATACGTACCTCAGTATCATCAAAAAACTTTGACATAACTCTTCTGACAGTCCTACTAAGGAACATTTGTAGCCTAAGTCGACCAGCCACTGGATGGAATGCACTTCCCCCTGCCGCAGTTACAAGCACAGAGGCTGACATTGTGCGAGTGAAATACTTTAGAAATACAGTGTATGGCCATGCTGAGAATGCTTCTGTGGATGATGCTACATTCAATGTATATTGGCAAGACATCAAAGATGCTTTAGTGAGACTTGGAGGAACTGCATATGGAGTGGCAATTGATGATCTTAAAAATGAGTGCATGGACCCTTTATTTGAAGAACACTACAGAGAACTTCTAAAAGAATGGAAAAGAGATGATGATAACACTAAAGACAAACTGAATGAGATTCATTGGATGCTAGAAGAACTAATGAAAGCATCAGCAAGCAAAACACAACCAAAAGGTAAATTTATCAGCAGCAAGTTGATTTGAAGACAGGGAAGGAAAAACAAAATTGATGATAGAGGAATGAGGAGAAAAAACCAGAAGAAACCACAAACAAACTTAGCAAGAAATTAGAAGAATCATCAAGCATTTTTCTAATCCTTTTTTCTTTTTTACTTTCCATTCCTTCCTTTTTCTATCCTTTTTTTGTTCTATGTTTCCTTTTCAGCACTTTCTTTTCCTCCTCCCCCTTTAGTCATTATCTTCTTTTTCCCTTTTTCCTTATCTAATATGTAAATTAAAGAGAGGAAAGGAAAAGCAATCATTTACATGCTTATTTTACTTTCTGATAAAAATAAACTAAATACATTGAAAGGAGCCTGACTACATTGGAACATTCTCACTTCGTCTTTAATTTCTTTTGGGAGAGATGCAAATATCTAAGACTCAGTTTTCATTGATTGAAAAATAATATTGTTCTGAAATCAAAATTAGTCCTTTATTTACCTCATAGCAATAATACTTTAGTTTCAGATGTTGAGGAAATGGTCTGAAATGAAACTTAATCCTTCATTTACCTAAGACCAGTAATGCTTTAATTTCAGATGCTGAGGAACCAGCTGAACTGATACAAAGGATTCGCCAACTTTATTTGACACGTGAAGGGCAACTTTCACCATTTCCTTGGTGTGACCTTGAGCTGAATGATATATTTACCAGGCCAACCATTGTCAGACAAGACAAAACTAGACGAACAGCTGCAGAACAGGTAACCAGCATAACCGGAGTCTTTAAACCACACAATGGATGCTCCAAGCCCAGAATTGTTCTGATTGAAGGAGAACCTGGAATGGGCAAGACTACCTATTGTCAAAAGGTAGTGTATGACTGGGCCAATGGTCAAGAAACAGATGCTTCTTTCCCAAAAATTAAATTGGTTCTCCTGCTCAAATGCCTTGACATGTCAGGCAACATCTGGGAAGCTATTGATGATCAGCTGCTTCCTAAAGATATTGAAAAGGAAGAAAGAGAGAACTTCTTCAAGTACATTCGTGCCAATCAGTCCCAGGTTCTCTTGGTACTTGATGGATTAGATGAAGCACCTTCCAATCTCATGAAGATATTTTCTGACCTTGTTGAGAGCAGAGAGCTATCAAAGTCTCACATCATTCTTACATCCAGGCAAGAGGGTAGTGTTAAGATAAGAAAGTATTGTGACACCTTACTTCAAATACAAGGATTTGCTCCAGAGAATTCTCACAATTACATCAAACACTACTTCAAAGACTTGGAGGCACAGGGACAAAACCTTCTGAAGGACATAGAACAAAATATTGAACTTGGAGAACTGATTGTCAATCCATTGTTCACAGCAATGCTGTGTCTTTTTTATGAATATTTAGAAGGTGGTCTGCCTCTAAGCAAGACTCAGTTGTATCTTGAAATCACAGAATGCATTCTTAAGAGATTTTGCCAAAAGCAAGGGTTGTCCCACGATAATGACAACCAATCTGAAGTTTACAAAGAAGAGCTGGAACAATTGGGAAGAATAGCCTGGGAGGCCTTGAAGAGAGATATAATGCATATTGACAAAGGAGTGTTTACAGCTACAACTACAAGAAAATCACCTCTATTTGAATTTTTGTCAGTTCAGTCTAACAGCAGCAAAAGAAGATCCCATACATGCTACCGATTTTCACACAAGAGTTTTCAAGAATTCTTTGCAGGTCTTTATCTCTCTGACCAAATTTTGAAAGGGGAAACAGACTTTGAGGGACTGCTTGCAAATGAAAGACAAAACTTAAAGTCTCTTGAACCAGTCCTTTTGTTCACAGTTGGTATCCTTGGCCATAAAAGTGAAGATGGAGCCTTGTCTCTTTTAAAAATCATTATCATGAAAACCAATCTTTTCAAAAACGTTGTTCTTTCAAATTTTTATCTGTATTTTGCTTTAAAGTGCATTGGTGAATGCTCCATGGAAAATTCAGGACTTCGATCCCAGATGATAAATTTGTTGGGAACAAACCTAGAGCTTCAATGCTTGATGATATCTGATGACAGTTTTCCCATTAAGTTGTTTCTTGAGGCCCTTCAAGTTAACAGCACACTTACACTTTTACACATCCTTGTTCCATTTTTTGGAGACCAGTTTATTGTGTCATTGGCAAATATGCTTCGAGTTAATAAAACTTTGACTGCAGTTGTATTTATTACAAATGGTTTTGTCAGTGCACCTGGTGTTCAGAATCTGGCTGATTCTCTAATGGTTAACAAAACACTATGTGACTTACTGTTTAGTGGAAATGCATGGGGTGACAATGCAGTCAGGATCTTGGCAGGTTATTTAAAGAGGAGTGTAAACTTGAGTTCCTTTGATCTAACTGCTAGTGACATTGGTGATCCAGGAGCCACAGCACTAGCTGAGGTTTTAAGGACCAACACCACTTTAAACGGTATGCACCTTCAGAGAAATCCAGGTATTGGTAATCCCAGCGTCATGTCACTGTGTGAGGCTCTGAGAGTCAACACAGCCCTTAGTTCATTAAATTTGTCTGAAACTGGTATTAGTGATGCTGGTGTTCTTTCTCTTGTGGAAGTTCTCAAAACTAATACCAGCAGCCTAACCTCTTTGTCACTATCAGATATCAAAATAAGTCATCGAAGTGTAAAGTCCATTGCAGAAGTCTTGAGAGTCAACTGCACTTTGAAAGAGCTTACATTTGAAGGAAATAAAGTTGGTGTTGGTGGAGCGAAGTTGATAGCTGAAAGCCTTAAAGCCAATACAACCCTGAAACTTCTAAGTCTCTCAAGGAACAACATCAAAGCACCATGTGGCCGTTTATTTTCTGATGCCCTCAAAGTTAATGGGACACTGGAATCTCTGATTTTGGCAGAGAATGCCCTTGGCGCTCGTGGTGCCCAACTTCTATCAGAAGGGCCAAGAGTGAATACCTCACTTACACATCTGGACCTGTCTGGGAATTCCATTGGTGATGATGGTGCGAAATCAATTGCAGAGACCATCAGAATTTATGCTTCATTGACTAGCTTAAAGCTATCACAAAACAGTATTGGTGATCCTGGAGCCAACAAAGTTTCTGAAGCTCTTAAAGATAATGTCTCTTTGGAGGACCTGGATCTGTCATTTAATGCCATTGGTGCTGCTGGAGCTGAGTCTATTGCTGAGGCGCTTAAAAGTAATGCTACTCTGACTTATTTAAAACTTGATTATAATGTCATTGGTGATAATGGGGCCCAATCACTTTGTGAGGCTCTTAAGACAAATGCCACCTTGACCGACCTGAATGTTTCTTACAACAATATTCATTCAGCTGGTGCTCAGGCATTTGATGAGCTCCAAGGACTTAATAACACCCTAAAGAAAGTAGCTATGATCATGAACAATAATGGTGATTTTGGTGATCATGGGGATCAAGAATTCAGTGAAGTCCCCATGATAAGCTTGCCTTCTTTTCCTATTTCACACGATCTTTCACTGCGTTTTACTGAGCAAGGAAGCTTTGATGTACTTGTTTCTAGAGAAACTTTGATGCTACCTCAACAGTGAAGCATTTTGTAGATTACCAAATGGAAGTCAAGTTGTGAAAAGCTAATTTCATTTCTGTGATGGAGTTGTTAAGGCTGACATCCATGCAAAACTAAGTTTACTTGTAGATAGTGAAGTTAGATCTCTTCCCTCTAACAAGAAGCTATTGATGACTAGTTTGAGCCTGAGTACAGCTTGGATCTCTCTCCAGTTGGCTGGTGTGAAAAGAGGAAGGCCCTCCGACATCCTCCTCAAACCTCTAATTTTTTTGGGAGTGAACCAAAAATGTTCTCTTTCCTAGACTTGCAGAAAGCTCCCATGTTTTTCTTGCATGAAGGAGATCTAAATTCACTGACAAGGAACATGTTCCTTTTCCTTATTCTGCTATTGCAGTCTGAGGATTAAGTAATGCATAAGTTAAACCATATACAAAAGAAAATGGTGTGTTTAGATGTTTATTTGTATGTTTACCTAATAATATATATTCTATACCAAAATGGCCAAATATGTTTAAAAGATAAGATTAAGGAAAAGCAAAGGTTGTCACTACCAACATAAAATCACCATACAGTTTAGGGGAGTAGAGCTAAGTCTCCCTCACAGCTGACATCAGTTATCACACAGGTAGCCCAACCTCACAAAATAAGCCTCTGTAAAGATGTAAATATGTTTATGTTGTGTGATGATCCCATAAGAAGAAGGTTAATTTTAAGTATATATTATAGGTTCAAGTTTTTAGGTTGAGGGTGAAACTGTTTATTCCCATAAAAATCCTTACATTCCACCCACTAAGCAACATAGAAATATTTTCATAGTTACAGACACTCATTTTTTGTGCTTTGGCTACTTGTGGCTAAGAAAACAGATTTATGCTCAGGCTTTAAGGTATCAATCAGTGACAAAACTGAAATAACTCTGCATCCATTTCACGGTCAGCTCAGCTGCTGCTTATCCCAAAAAATTGTTGAGCAGGGAACCTGCACTCAGACTAAATAAACTTGGCATGAAAGAGGGATGTTAAGAAACTGTTAATGCATTTTGGACCAAATGAAAGTAATATCTGTAGTTAAGCATCAGTAGATACAATAACCCTTAATTCCCTAGCATCAGTATTCATTTTCTCCATTCCGTTCTCTGTGCATTTACTAAGGTGCTGACAAGGAGAATTTGTCCACCAGTCAAGAGTTAAATCTTAAGTTGGTGATCATTTCCTTTATTCTCATGACATTAATGTGTGATTCAATGGTGATATTGTAAGGAGAAATTGGATGCTACTCACTCATTGTGGTTAAAGGGTTAATATATAGACCTTAGCTCACATTAATTTTTTTTAAATTTTTCTCAAAATTAACAGTCAATTAATTTTTTGGTGTCTGATTGATTTCAGTATCTGTATCAACTTTCAGATGCCAGCTTGTAAAAACTAAGACAGCTTCAATTTTCATTTGCTGATTATTTCTAGTTTGAGAAGGGCTGTTCCCTTTTTATATGTAATAATCAAAATAATTTGATAGTATTTAGAAGTAGCATCTGTTCCTGTGATAGCCATTAAACAGGTCAAACCTCTTATCTGTGTTATGAAGAAATGAACTTCATGAAAACTGTGAAATCTATATTATCTTGCCAAACTGTAACAAGAACATAGTTTGGTTTTATCAAGTGAAATGATGATGTAAATTGGCCTCCATAAAGAAGTTCTTGAGCAAATGTTTCCAGCATTAGCCCCAGTCATCTGAGCAAATGACAAAGAGCTAATGCTTGATACATCAGCTTCAGGTCAGACTATTTCAAGTCAGCTTCAGGTCAATTTACATTATCAACATATATGATACAACCAAATTATCTTGTAATCCCCCTACCCCTCCCCCCCCTTAACTGACACAGCACTACAGTTTCACTTTTAATCAAAACTATAACAAAAATTCTCAAATGTGATTGGTTATCACCAGCTTGATTTGAGCACTAATAGGACGGTGTACCATCATGCTTGTAATTGGTCAGTGTAATAGGACAGTTAAGGGTGTTTGCACAGTTGTCTTGCATTTCACTTAAAAAACTGTTGTTTCTTTTCATGAAAATGTTTAACAGATGTCTAGTTTCTTTCTCAAATTTTGTTATAGTTTTAATTGATTGGTAACAAGACTTCCTCTCATCCAATTCTGTCTGTAATCATACTTATGATAACACCAAATCTGACTGCTGCTTTGCGGTCCTCCAATTTTGTTAATCACTCATGACTACCTTCAATATACCAGCATATTCCATTCACACTGAATGCCAAAAGCAAGCTAAGTTCCAGCAAACTAAACATGCCAGCATCATATAACATTGTTATTGATCTCCTTGTCTCTGACCTATATTACTTTGACCCTTCACACCCTAACATCAGTATACATATTTTCCATACTGCTCTCTTTACATTTGTTATGGTATTGGCAAGGAGGATTTATTTGATAACCAAAGCTACTGTAGTTGGTGATCATTTTCTTCATTCTCATAACCTTGATGTTTGCTTCAGCAGTGACACTGTAAGGAGAAATAGGATGCTAGTCACTGCTGGGATATAAAGGGATAAGAAAGAAAAAAAACCTTGGCATGCTTATAATTGTTGCTAAAGAAACCACCTCATAAGGAGACACCTCTCACTAAAGACTAACAGACCCCAACCTATTGTGATGGTAATTAAAAATATAATCATGCACTATCTGATACCAACCTACTTTAATTTGGTTGTTGAATGAATAAGTGTGAAAATGGAATTTTATAAAACACAGTAAAACACAATCTAACCTTAATCAAGTCTTGGTACTTGAGAAATAAGACATTAGGATCATCCCTGTGCTTCCACCACCCAACACATGATCACTCCAGTGACCATACAACACTGGAATAAAACAATTCCAAATTAAATTGTTCTTCAAAATATAATCACGCCCAAAGCTTAATGTGTTTCTTCTACATATGTCAGAAGAAAAACATGTAGGCAGAACAGTGAAGTACATTTCAAGTAAGGGCCACAGGAGAAGGAAGGGGGGGGGGGGAAATTTATGCTTAAATTATGTACCTTAACTTTTAAAATTACACCAAATCAAAGGATGGTTTTTTCATCCAAAAAGGTTTCTGGAACTCATCCAAACCATTTCACTCACAAATCTCATTAATAATTCTCCTCACTGTCTGTCACGCAATTCCTATGATGTAAGTTTGGAGAATTTGGTTTCGATCAACTAATAATCCCCTGGATGTTACATATTTGTGTGAGGTGCTGTGAAGTGAGAGAACCATCACTGAAGAAAACTTTTTTTGGTAAAATTTCCGCACAGCCCCATACTTCATGATGCATTCAGTTCTTGAATAGAGAAAACAATGACTAAAACAATACATTGCCATTGGGAAAACAGATTTGTTTTGCAGTGTGCGGAAATTTTACCCTTTTTTTTTCACCATGTAACGAGCGTGGAAAAAGATAAAAATTTTGGAATAGCTCTTCCGCTCCTTTCTGATGGTCCACCACCTGGCCACAGAGGCTTATATATGACACATGTTCCGCATAACCTAGAACCATTACCAAAATTGACTATCGCGTGACAGAGAAATCGCTAGGGACACTGCAAGTCTCTTCCTTTTTTTCTTTTGTCGGCCATAAGGTTTCTCACGAACATTACCAGTGGATTTGCTCATTCTTCCATCTTATCGACGCCGTCGACTGTGTTTGAGACACTAAGAAAAGTACTACAGAACCGAAAAAGTTGATCATTGAATAAAAGTGGTAAGTTTCTGAAGAAACTATGGTGGCCTTTGACCTATTCAAGAGGCCCCCTAAAATTGAAACTTTTCCACGAACTACGATTAAATCTACCAAGGATAAAAACCCCTTTAAAAATATACGATTAGGCGAACTTTGCACAATCGGGTAACGCGTGACTATCTCTTACTGTGACCATCGAAAACTTCGCGTGACCGCTGAGGCAACTCGTGACCAAAAGTGCCACTTTCCGCCACAGCACCAGCGATGACGTCATGGGAACGTCCCTAATTTATTTCTCGAGGGTGAGGCAAAATATTGCATGTACTTTCGCATCCAGATTTACAGCTGTGAGTCGCTGAGTTGTTCTTCTGTTTGTGATAAAGCAGGTTTGTAGTTCTTAACTTTCTTAAGATCCGTTTTCGAGCCTAACAAAGTTAAATGAAATGTAGTTTATAGCTACCGTTCAAGTAGTCTTTCGGGCGCGCGTTTGATTGCGAACCTACTGTTTGTTGAGAAGGAAGTAATCAAGGTTTGGTTGAAAATAGTCGATGTGAAGTAACTTCAAAAACAAAATAACATAACATAAGTTAAAAAAAACCTTGGTTGAGCCCTATCCATCACCAAAAATACCCTCCCAATTCTTAAAATGTCGAAGCTGGATTAATGTTCCCTTTCCCCTCCCTCTCCAACCATAATCAAGTGAGATGTATTGGTTCATAATAAATAAATTAGCCAGAACCTCTTTCATACATGGCCTTTCTCATTTCTTTATAGGTCAGGAAGACAATGGCCACAGCTGCTGCTCCAGTGTCATTTTCATCTACTAAAGAGACCACCAATTATGCAAGACTTTGTCGTCTCCTGGTTGATGTGGGATCTTATGTGCTGCGAGACAAGTTTGACAGCATTCATCCTCCAACAGATCTTTACAAAGACTTGATAACACATCATGCCACACTACAGCTACTTCAAAGGAGGAAGGTTTTAAATCCAACACAATGGGGAAACCTCTACCCTCCAATACGCACCTCAGTATCATCAAAAAACTTTGATATAACTCTTCTGACAGTCCTACTAAGGAACATTTGTAGCCTAAGTCCACCAGCCACTGGATGGGATGCACTTCCCCCTGCCACAGATATGAGCTCAGAGGCTGACATTGCCCGAGTGAAATACTTAAGAAATACAGTGTATGGCCATGCTGAGAAGGCTTCTGTGGATGATGCTACATTCCATGTGTATTGGCAAGATATCAAAGATGCTTTGGTGAGAC